TACTAGTTTTTCTTAAAAAAAAAAATTGAATGATTAAGAATTCAATTAAATATGGCTCCCACTAAGTTACTTGACTTCTCCAATATGTATAAATTATATACATAAGGATGAACCGCATCCTTAGCGGTCCCCATTTGTCCTGCCCTAGGCCTTAGTGAATGAGGTAAATCGCAGGTTATGCCTTCAAGGGTGGAAGACTGTTTGTACACTTACACTTATCCAAGGGCCAAATCCATATTTAATAACAACTTGGGTGGGTGGGGGAGGGGGTTCATTTACGAATAAATTAACAATTAACATAGCTTGTCAAATTTTACGTACCGGACAAAGCTATGTTCTTGTAACGTTTTTATAAGATTACAAAAAAAAATTTAATAGTTAATTGAAAAACTAAAGAAGGTTAAAAACATTGCGACAAATAATCACATAATATATATTAAATAACGACGACAACTTGATAACGATGTATTTTAGTGCTCAAACAGTTAGTAGAAGCGAATCTTGTCAAGATTCCTTTAAAGAAATTATGTGTTGTGTTTAATTTAATATTAGAAAGCAAAAATGATGTTTATTATTTTAAAATAGAGTTTTTAAATTAACTAGTCCTACTTTTATTAGGACATAAATTGTCCTAATCTATTTTATATGTTAGGCCCTGTTTGAGTCAAATTATTATAAAATGAGAATGAAAAATATAGTCCTTTTTGGGGTCCACACAAGACGTAAAAAATTTGAATTTAAATGTTGATGTGATGGATAACTGTTATATTTTTCATTTTAATGAGATAATAATGTAGATCAAACGGGGGCTAACTATGTTTGTCAGTGGGAGGTCTTTTAAAGATTTATTTTTGGATCTTGATTTCTTGGAACATTGGTGAATCTTAAAATATTTTTTCTCGTTAAAAAATTAAATTAAAAATAATAAAATCATTTCAAAATAAAAATAAAAAAATTAATGACGTGGAGTTAAAATATTTTTGTACGTGTTCATTTAAAGATTACTTTAATTTTTTATATAAATAATCATTAGTTAGAACTAGTTTTATTTTTTATTTTTTCTGATTTTTTTATAATTTTATTTTTTCAGAATTTTAATTTTAATTATTTTGAATTTTAATTTTTTTTAGAATTCTAGATTTTATTTTTTAAAATTTATCAATTTCATTTTTTGAATTTTAAATTTTTATAATTTTAATTGTTAAAATTTTACATTTTTTTAAAAAATTTTAACATATTATTTAAAAGCTTGTTTTCCGTGTATTGAGTGTTTTCAGAATTTTCACTGAAAATATTCAAATCATCAAAAATATGTTTTGAATTTTATGTTATAAATTTATCATCGTTTTCAAATATACATTTTCAAAAATACAAGAACAAATATATTTTCAATGTTTTGTAAAATTGATAACGACTTAAATGATACTAATAAAATATTTAAGTTGCTTTAGTTAATTACCACATCTATTTGGGCTCAAGTTTTGCCACATTTATTTGATGTGGAATGAGAAAGGAATTCAACACTCTTTTTTCAAATATTTGTCAATATAAACGTGTTGAAAATATTAAAAGAGATACTTGCCTTTGGATCTCGAAATACATTAAAGTTTTGGTACTTAGAATATTTGAACAACCATAAGAATAAAGTGGAACCAGAGGCTTGCCTGAAATCTTTGACCTCATCTTTGATATATTAAAACGTCTTAAAATCAATCGATTATACATAAGTAGTTAACTAAATCTTGAAATTTAACTAATTTAAGTAGTTATAATTGTCGATGTGACATTTCTTTTAGGGGTGGTAATCGGAACATGGTAGAAAGTAATTCGTGTTACCTGCTGCCAAGAATTTTAGGAGATAGGGCAAGCACAATGACAGAGGCGGAGATAAAGATATTCTATTTATTACCTCATTTAGTTATTTATTATTTTTTAATACGGACTAAAATTTAATAACATAAAAATAAAAGGAATATGTCACTTGTACATAATGCGGTGTCCACCCCCTCACATGCAGGGGGACCTACTTCGGATATATTTTATTTTATTTAAGATAGGTCCCCCTCCATGTGAAGAGATGGACACCGTTATGAACACCGCATTATATAATTGTAGCATCGCCCAAAATAAAAATAATGAGCAAACTCATGTTCCCGGTCCCATTCCTGTCAATACCCCAATTTCTCGAAGGGACTGGACAATTTCGGGCGAGATTGGAAAACATTTTCATCCCAATTCCTTTCCAATATAGTTAATACTTTGGACTCATTTTTCTTCTTTTTCTTTTTCTTTTTTGTCCTAACTAGTATTTAATTACTTCCTCATTTCCAAGAATTATTTATACGAATAAATGCTGTTACGAGCCTGTGTCAGACCCGCCACGTGTCAGTAGAGGTGGCCCACACCACGCATGCGCATCGAGGTGATCGTGCATGGGACGAGCTGATTACATATGCCGAAGTGACTACATGAGGGACGAACTGAACGTATGTCAGCGAAGGAACCAAACTCATCTGCGATACACCGCGGATACAAAGGCCCGTACTCCGCTTCCACGACTCCACACCTGCCTCGCCTCGCCCCGTCCCAGCAAATATTTCTTGTACAAAGATCTTTCCAAAGTCAAATCCCTGACTGATAAGATGTGTGACAGGACCCAAACGATCAATTCAATTGCCTTTGTCATAAACATTCAATGCCAGCCAAACTATGGAGGGACAAATTGACACCTAGGACGGAATGGGCCTTGAGGATATGATAAACACGTGTCTCCTCATCCAACGGCTCACATCTTCTCATTGGTATAAATATCCTCTTCTTGTGCCGGAAGAAGGATTTGAATCAAGATTTTCCCCTACTACATTGCAAATTTGAGTATTATTTTCTCATTTAAATATTGGCACTTTATCACTACACACTTTACCAACCATTTCCCAGCGAGTGTCCTACTGCCGGCGAACCTTTTTCCGGTTGAACCTTAAACTAACTTGATCGTTGGAGTTCTCGCGGCCTCTCCTAACCCCTCCGGGAAAGGCCACAAGTGACTAACGGTGTGCTACATATCCAGGAAAGAGCTGACTAGAAGACTTATTATGTTGGCCACGTGTCGGAGCCACATTTTGAGGTCAATAGATTGGCGCCGTCTGTGAGAAACTTAATGTATCCACAAGT